AGCTAAACTTGGTGTCTCTTTTGTTTAACACACCGAAGATATATCAAACCTGCGTATATAATCGTTTTTATTCGTTTCACTTTATTACAAAAAACACGTTTTTAGTGAGGTAAATATTTCAAGTCGGCGATTTAGCCTGACCCTAGGCTGACTAAAAAAATCGGCCTGCGGAGGTATCATTTTAGTCGAGGTTCACGTCATTTAGTCGTAGTGCTAGTCGAAGTTCGTTTTAAGAATACGAAATGACGTAATTTTAAAGTTGTAGCTCGAACTACGACTAAAGTTCGTTTTAAGAATACCGGGGTAAGTGCGGGAATTATAAACGACAAGGCTAGGCCCAGAGGCTTCTATTTGTTAGTTCGAGTATTTCATCATTTCTTTCATTCATTTTGTGTTTATGTAACGATCATTCCTAGGCCACTAGCTACTGTAATAGTTTGTTACAAGTAGGTTTGTAAGGTAGGTATATAGGCCTAGGTAGCCCTCCCTATCTATACTACTCTCGTGTAAGCTTTTATCTTCAGTCTTTATAATGCAATAGGCCTACAGCATGTCAGAAAGAATATCCATAGTGAAGAATGATTAAATGATAAACCTAGCAGGGGTAGCATAGGAAAGGTCCAGAAGACCGATCCGGCACACTCCCCCTCCCCTTTTTTTGGAAAGTCAAAGATAAAAATAAGAAGGACGGGAAAAGAAATAATTGACCAACCAAACAAAATGCCTCAGAGGTTATTTTTTGGCGTCTAGGTAGAAAACAAAAATCAAAAATTTTGCTGGGGCAAGCCTGTGGACTCCCTAGTGTTGTCTCGTTCAGTCCCACTTTCGGGGCCCCGCCATTTTGGGCATATCTGGATCCGCCCCTGGATAGCCTACAAAGTGAATACTTCTGATTTTTTTCTTTCAGTGCTGAGTGCTTGCACCAATCATGGTTGTCAGAATGCAGGTGCCTGTGTCCCGGTTACTGGTTCCTGTACAGCATACACATGTACCTGCCCAACATGCTTCACTGGACAATTCTGTGAAACACGTAAAGTACCATATATAGTGATTTTAAATGTGTCAAAAAGCTTAGTATGAGATGGAGAAGAGATAAGTTTTTGTAGCTTTTTCTTAAACATACTGACCTTAAGAACTTATGATGAAATCTATTTTTACCATTACTGTACTCACATTAGTTGCTGCTCTGCATTTTTTCAGGAAATTAGCAAATGCAAATGCATCTAGATTTTTGTGTAGCTTGGTTTTCTTCATTAATAATAATTATTTTTTACTAATAATCAATTTTCAGAATTAAATGCTTGTAGCAACAACTTCTGTCAGAATGGAGCTGCTTGTGTCCAGGTTTCTGGTTCCTGTACAGCATACACATGTACCTGTCCATCATGCTACACTGGAACATTCTGTGAAACTTGTGAGTTTTGAGTTCCATTAGTTATTCACATATCATATTATGTAGTGTGAGGTTGTACATATTCTATATTGTTTCTGTCTATTTCATTGTGAAACACATGAGTATAGTAATTTTGATAATTTTTTAATCTAAACATCAGATAGTAAATGGGGCTTACCATGCCAAAAACACCATCAGTGACTGAAAAAAGAAAATGGATTTTTGAGACTTTTGTTATCTTGTTAACCGAACCCACTGCCTGCCAATAAAAAGTTCTTTATTTTTTTCATGCACACCACTGCCTTGAAATCTCCAAAAATAAACAACCACCAAAAAAGTATATGTTTAGAATTCTCTACCCACCCCCCCAATTTCTTCCCCACTCCCCCCTCCCTTCCACTAAAACCTCTATACACACTATCATGTTGTTTGTGTTGTGACTTGTGACATCAATATTTTTTAAATTTATCATGAATGATTTTAGTACTGAGTGCTTGCTCTAACCATGGCTGTCAAAATGGAGCTGCCTGTGTCCAGGTTTCTGGTACATGTACACAATACACATGTACTTGTCCATCATGCTACACTGGACAATTTTGTGAAACTGGTGAGTTGTGGCATTATTTTAGCTATAGCGATTGCTGTATTATTGTGTTATGATTTTGTTTACAGTACACTGTCATTATTTTTAAAATATATGTTGTTTGCCCATATTTGGGTGTGATATTATGACATGCCCATGCATACATATTGTACCTTGCAACAGATGTGTTTAAATTGAGGAATTAATCTCTTCACAAATCAATTCATTAACATAATATCATGATGAAAAACAATATCACAAAACTTTAACTATAACATGGGAGCTGAATTATATCATCTAATGTTCTGTCCACACTATCAAATTTTCTTTAACAAAAACTTTTGTATGCCCATATATAGTCATGATGTGCCTATATATGGTCATGATGTGCCCATATATAGTCATGATGTGCCCATATATAGTCATGATGTGCCTATATATGGTCATGATGTGCCCATATATAGTCATGATGTGCCTATATATGGTCATTGTGTGATGTCATCATGACCATATTTAGGCATGTCACATGTTTTTGTCAAATAAAATTTGATAGTCTGGACATGGGTTAGTATTATAAACTGTGTCTACTTTAATATTTTGTGACAACTTTTATTTTGCCCATATATGGACATGTTTATATCATATCACACTCAATTTTTGGAAAATCAAAAGTACTTCACACATAAAACTTGATAGAGTGAGACAGACTTGATGAAGTGTACAAAGTAATAATAAATAAACATTATATAGCCAAAGTATAAAACTTTGTGTTGTCTTGTGAAACTAATGTATGAAAAGTCTCTCTCTAATTAAAGACCACTTTTGGGACCTGGGTTTTCATGGTTTTTAGCAGCTTTGGTCTCTAATTAGAATAATAAAAATAAAAGACATTTGTTAATTTGGGACCACGGAAAAGTGGTTTTTAATTTGAGGGGTCTTTAATTGGAGGGGTCTTTCATTACTGTACATACAAAAGCTTAATTGAATTTATATAATTGTTGTACTGTAATTTTCAGCCAGTTGTGTTTTACTCGTAACGTAACATATATCGTTTTGCTTTATGCTTAGCTCTAAATGCTTGCACAAACCATGCTTGTCAAAATGGTGCTGCTTGTACTTCTGTTGCTGGTTCCTGTACAGCCTACACATGTGCTTGTCAATCATGTTATACTGGACAATTTTGTGAAACACGTAAGTGATCATTCAACAATTAACACACTGAAAATATTGAGAAAACATGTTTATAAGGAAAAAAAATAATGGTGTGTTATATATATATATATATATATAAATATATAAATTTCAATAGTTTTTTATAAATGAGGAAAGTAATTGATGGTTATCTTTGGGTATAAAAAAGTTGTACTTATGTTTTTAATTTTTTAGAAACCTCTTTTGAAAAAAATTTAGAAAAATACTTAGCTTAATATACACATAACTACTGTGATGATTAAGTAATGGCAAGGAACTAAAGTTGGATAAGAAGCTAATCACATATTTTGCATTAAAATGAGCAGGTGAATATTTTACAGAGTGGATACACTACAGAAAATAGACAAAGCTAAAAGTTATCCAAAAAATAATTGCGTCGATGATGAAAAGTCGTTTAACCCAACTTCAACCCCACCGCATAAGGAAGGGCATCACCTTAGTTTTGGGTGGTGGGGGGGAACTGAATAACCCGAGTATTGTTTCAATATTTTTGGGTTCAGCTCTATCTTCTTCTATTATCATTGGCATTGGTTTGTTTGTTTTTTCCAGGCTTGAGTGCATGCAGTGTCAACAGTTGCCAGAACGGAGGTGCCTGCATTGAAGTTACTGGATCTTGTACCCTCTACACCTGTACTTGTCCATCATGCTACACTGGACAATTCTGCGAAACCTGTGAGTTTTCGTATTCTTCAGATTATATTTTAATTTTTATTTGGAAATATTTTTTATTTTTATTTATTTTTTTATTTGGAAATATTTTTTTCATTTTCTTTTTTAAATTTATTTAATGTATTTGTTTTGTTTTTGTTTTTTTGTTTTTTTATATAACTGTATTTGACTTGTCACATCACAAGACAATGTAAGCTATGTTATGGGTGATGAAATAATTGTCAATAAAGTTTTCAGTAATGATTGTATTACATTAATTTTGATGAAGACAATGGAAACATTTCTTTGACTTAACTACGTTATACTGCTGTTCACAATTTGTTTTTAAATAATCAATTAGCTACGCACATGCTCAACCGTAACATTTTTATTGGAAAAATATAAAATTACGATTGCATACATTCAAATCTAAATTTTAACTTTTTTGTGAACGAAAACACAGTGGAATATTATTTGAATATAACATTGTAATATTAAATTACTGTTATAAATGTTCATTTCCAAATTTGAACAATTGGGTGGAGAAATGCACAAAGGAATAATTGAAATGCACAATATTGCTGCTCAGGCACAGTTAGCTTTGACTTAGTACAAACTTAACGTTTACAATAATTATTTCAGTGCTTAATGCTTGTTCCAACCACGCTTGTCAAAACGGAGGTGCCTGTGTCCAAGTTGCTGGTTCCTGTACAGCATACACATGTACCTGTCCATCATGCTACACTGGACAATTCTGTGAAACATGTAAGTTTCTCTTCATAACAATCTTATAATAGTATAGAATGATTAATGTGTACCATTAGTGTTATGTGATTTTCTATACATACAAGTAATACTATTTTAGTGTTTCATGTAAGTGTTGAATGCTTGTGACATTATAATAGGTAGTTTTCGCCGACTTGAAGTCCCCGCTGTTTAGTTTGCGAAATTAGCCTCGAAAAGAAGCCCATCTCAAAAAGAAGCCCATAGGCTTCTTCTCAAGATAACATAGGCTTCTTTTCCAAGATATTACAGTCATACACTGTACATTAATTTCAGAAAACAAAATAGATTAAATACAACCTTGGCTTATACAGTAGTTTACAGTAGGTTATTTAGTGCCAGTTAAATACACTCCATTATACAGATTAATGTTACAGTGGCCTTATTTATTGTTTTATGGTAAAAATTCACAAAATTTATAGCATTCATTTTGCATAAGTATTCTCAAAATTCTCAAAAAGTCCGTCTCAAACAGAAGCCCATCCAAAGTTCGCAAAGAAAAGAAGAAGCCCAGGGCTTCAATTTGAGGTTTTACGGTAGTAAATTTACTATTAATATTATTTGTAGTTTTTTTATTGAAAGTTTAATTATTATTAATTAATCTTATTATATGTTTTTACACAAGTATATCAAACTATTAATATAATTAGCATTAAAAAAATATTGCTACAATGTTCTCAATTTTGACATCTGTAAGTTCATTTTTATAATTTATTTATGTATGTATTTGTTGTTCTTTCATATCAGTGTTGAATGCTTGCACCAACCATGTTTGTCAGAATGGAGCTGCCTGTGTACAGGTTTCTGGTTCCTGTACAGCCTACACATGTACCTGTTCATCATGTTACACTGGAACATTCTGTGAAACATGTGAGTGTTATGTTGATATATTTGTTAGGTTGACATAGATTAATTTGTGGTTATTAGCATTACAGATAATTTTTTTGTATTTTCTATTTAACTAATATGCACACACACACGTTTTGAATTTAGGTTTTTTCAGTTTTGAGTTTTTTTGTGTTTTTAATCATGCTTAGGCAAGACTTCTAACCCTTGTTTAGTGAAGTTAGTGTTCGAAAAAAAAGCAAACAGAATGGTGGTAAAATATGAAAATATAATTCCGTTTTATATTTAGCTAAACAGTTTTGCCAAAAGATTCTAGGTAGTAGGGAAAAAATTTAAAGTTAATAGAAAGGGCCCTAAGCCCTTGCTGGAGCTTATATAGCTTGATCCTTAAGCAGTAGACTATAGTTATTAAAACTGTTCTGTAATCAGATTGATAAATGCTTTATGTTTATTCAAACTGGAGGGCAGTCATTTCACTGCCACATCTTCATTCCAATAGGAATACAAGTTAATGTTAAAAATATTTTTTCTTATTTCAAACTTTTAATTTAGTTAGTAAAAATGTTTAAATATATCCTGGGCTCAGGAGAGATGCATAGTTTATAGATATTGAACAACGAACAGATAATAATTCCATCATTTTACATCCTGGTGCTTTTTTGAATTATTGCAAATATAAGGAAATCACGTTCTCATTCCTTTTCACTTCTTTCCTTGATATTTTCCACATTCTTCACAATTCTTTGTCACAAATTCTGCTAGTTAAGAATGGATGTTATGACCTTACCATGATTATCTGAATGGTGCTGCTTGTGTCATTTCAACATTCTCAATATTTTTTTTATCTCATGTTCTGTATTATGTCTTATAAACTACTTTCACCCACTGCACTCTTCTTATTTAATATTAAATGCTTGTGACACAAACTCATGACTAAATGGATCTGCTTGTGTCCAGGTTTCTGGTTTCTGTATAGCCTACACGTGTTCTTTTCCATCAAGTCACATGCCGCACTGGGCATTTCTGTGAAAAGCCTGGTTTTTCCATGAATTTGCTACACTGACGCTGCAGCGTTTCCCCTGCAATCGTTTCATTGTGTAGCTGTCCCAGACGCAACCCCGATTTTACCGAAAAATTTAGCATCGCTGAAAGTTGTTGGCAATAACATGTAGCTAATTTATGGAAATCAGGCTAAACTTGTGAGTTTCTACTCTTTTCTTTTGTTGCACTTTGTTTCTGTATTTAATGTGAAGTCTATTGTTATTTAATACTTTTTATCTAATTCATTTCTATATGATATCAGTATTGAATGCTTGTGAAAACAATGCTTGTCAGAATGGAGGGGTCTGTTTCCAGGTTTCTGGTTCCTGTACATCATACTCGTGTAGCTGTCCAAATTGCTACACTGGACAATTTTGTCAAACTTGTGAGTTTCTACTTCAACACTCTTCTCTTCTCAACATATTTAATTTAATATGTACATAAACAAATTTATCAATTTTATTTTACTTTAAAACTTTTTTCCCTCTTGTTTTATTCCTCATTTCTACTCTAATGTATTTCCTTTAAATATCAGTATTAAATACTTGCAATACAAGTTCTTGTCAGAATGGAGCTGCTTGTGTCCAGGTTTCTGGTTCCTGTACAGCTTACACATGTACTTGTCCGTCATGCTACACTGGACAATTCTGTGAAACTTGTAAGTTTTCTTCTTTATCTTGTTTCTCTTTTTAAATTCTAAATTCACTTTGTATATACTGACATATATCAAGAAATCTTTCAGATTGATTTCTTACTACTATAAACTATTCTCTTTCTATTTTTTATTCTTTCTTTTATATCAGTATTAAATGCTTGCGATACAAATTCTTGTCTAAATGGGGGTGGATGTGTCGAGATTTCTGGTTCCTGTACAGCATACACATGTACTTGTTCCATTTGCTATACTGGACAATTTTGTGAAACTTGTAAGTTTCTAGTAAAACTGTTACTTGACTTTCTATACTTGTTGTGGTATAAAAACTTTGATAAGCAGTTTTTTTAAACATAAGTTTTTTTGTCTTACCGTTAGTGCTAAATGCTTGTAATAACCACGCTTGTCAGAATGGAGGTGCTTGTGTCCAGGTTTCTGGTTCCTGTACAGCTTACACATGTACTTGTCCGTCATGCTACACTGGACAATTCTGTGAAACTTGTGAGTTTCCTTACCTACCTACTGTAGCTTACTGTAGGAATTAAGAAAAATTAAATTTGATAGTTGACTTTCTTGCTTTGAATATTTACAAGGACAATTAATTTGAAAGTAACAGAAAATATTTAAATTGTATAAACAAGTTGGTAAATCAACAAAAATCTTAATTGTTTCAGTGGTGGACCCAGGAATTTAAAATAGCGGGGTGGGGAGGCAAGGAGGGACTTTCACAGATGGAGGGCCTATACCACTCCAGCCCCATCATAGCTGGGGCTGAGATGAGATAAAAAAAAAAAAAAAAGATTATGGCACCTGTAGACGGCCGGAAATTGCACTTTTAGACTTAAAATTTGAATAATTTTCTTTCTCCATTTTTTTTTAGCTTTGAAATTTTTGGAGGGGCCCAGGCCAATGGGCCCCCTAGAGTCCGCCCTAATTTTTTAAAATGTGTCGCATTGAAATTTAGTTAGTTAATTGACTTTTTTAAATGATCCGCCAACATTTTTATTTTGGATCTTAAGAGAAGACAGTATCTGTTACAGTATAGCATGCTTTTCAATTTATTTTTTTCGCTTGTTTCTGTGTTAGTGTTAAATGCTTGTGACAACAGTGCTTGTCAGAATGGCTACTTGTGTTCAGGCTGCTGGTTCTTGTGTAGCTTACAGGTGTAACTGTCCGTCATGTTACACAGGGTCTTTTTGTGAAACTTGTGAGTTTGTATGCTCGTATTTATACTCTAACTTTTACTAACAAATCTTTCAAATTTTTGTATTGATTTTCTCATGTTTCATTTTTTTATGTCAAAGTTCATGATTCAACCATGAATGAAAATAATTTTGTGATTGAGTTATATGTATATTTTATTTTGATTTTTGTTTCTTTTAAACTTCAACATCTCCATGCTATCCCTTGTCTATATCGTTGCTAGTGTTGAATGCTTGTGACAACCATGCTTGTCAGAATGGAGGTGCTTGTGTCCAAGTTACTGGTTCCTGTACAGCATACACATGTACCTGTCCATCATGCTACACTGGACAATTCTGTGGAACTTGTGAGTTTCTACTTTACTATCCTTCTCTTTCCCAATTTTGTAAAACATTCTAAATTTACTTTGTATATTAAACATATTAATAAATCTTCTTTTAAATTCTTGTAATTTAAATGTTCTTATTTTTATTTCTTATTTCTACTTACTTGTATTGTTCTTTTCTTTATGTCAGTATTAAATGCTTGTAACACAAATTCTTGTCAGAATGGAGGTACTTGTGTCCAGCTTTCTGGTTCCTGTACAGCATACACATGTACTTGTCCATCATGCTACACTGGACAATTCTGTGAAACTTGTAAGTTTCTACTAAAACTGTTACTTAACTTTCTATACTAATTGAGGTATAAAAACTTGGATAAGCAATTAAAAAAAAATATATAAATTGTCTGTCTTACTGTTAGTGCTAAATGCTTGTGATAACCACGCTTGTCAGAATGGAGGTGCTTGTGTCCAGCTTTCTGGTTCCTGTACAGCATACACATGTACTTGTCCATCATGCTACACTGGACAATTCTGTCAAACTTGTAAGTTTCTACTAAAACTGTTACTTAACTTTCTATACTAATTGAGGTATAAAAACTTGGATAAGCAATTAAAAAAAAATATATAAATTGTCTGTCTTACTGTTAGTGCTAAATGCTTGTGATAACCACACTTGTGAGAATGGAGGTGCTTGTGTCCAGGTTTCTGGTTCCTGTACAGCTTACACATGTACTTGTCCTTCATGCTACACTGGACAATTCTGTGAAACTTGTGAGTTTATTCTTTTTTTTTTTGTCTTTTGTGGGGTTATCCCACTTTTATTACTTCTCACATTTCATCACTACATAATTTACAATTACAAGGTTTTATGTGGTACCGTGAAATATCCAATATGAGTATTTACAGAGATAA